GGCAGACTGAAGGTTACAATACAAGACAGAAAACATAATCTTCATGAAGATTCTTTGGCGACGCCGAATATCTCTTATATGCGCTAGCTAGAGCGCGCTTGCAGGCATGCTCCAGGTAGAGCATACAATGTACGCTTTTGAATTTGTAGAGCATGTGTGGGTTGGCTATCTGAGAGTGCCGGCCACTGGCATGAAGCAGTGCTGCGGCATGCTGGAAGAGCTGAAGCGGACACGTCCCTGCATCCACGGCTCCGTTGCGGTCACTCCCTTGCCGGTGGAGCCACGCAAGTTTGTATGGCCTAAACGTCGGGTTCCCGTGAGCAAGCCTTTCAGCGGGTAGCTGCAATAATTGTTCCTAGTCGCTTTTTATGAGTACAATTTTTTCAATTCCCATAAACCATGCAACCTATCCGTGGGTGCCTACTTGCTTTTTTCAGTGCATTTTTTCCAATTTCTATCAATTATTTTTCCTCTCAGCGGCACTGTGCGAAAAAACCACAGTAAATCCCGTTAATTTTTTTGCCGGGATTTACTGTAGTTCAGGACACAGTATTTACTGTACCTGGTTACAGCAATTACTGTACCTGGTACAGGATATTCCGTACTCCACTCCTGTGGTACTATGCGTGACAAAAGTAAGCGACCCCTCCGGCCGGGCCTGGCGATACCCCGCGCCCAGGCCGCTGCCAAACAGGCGGACCCTGGCAGATGGCCGACGCAGGGCTGCGCTGTTGTCAAACTTCACTGCAGGTGCCGTGGGGGGGAGGGGGGCAGCATGTGCCAAAGTGCAGAGGCAGAGGACCCGGCCTGTGGCCTGGGAAGTCCGATGCGCGGGAAAACTGGACTTGGTCTGGAATTTCGGTTAAAATTTGTCGTAGAACAAAATTTCAAATTCACTGGACTCGCAGCTTCGAAAGGAACCCATTTCCACTAAATTCGAAACCCAAAAAATAAGTTGTTTAAAAATTTTCTTTTTTGAGTCAAGGGGCAATAAATCAGCTTGTCAGCACCCTCACGCCGGTGCACCCAGGCAGTGAATGAGACCTGCGACACAATAGCCTGCAGGCAACCCGGCTAATTCTAGAATGCAAATTTTCTAGGGCGTTATTTTGACATGTTGGGAATGTTGGCCACTGTATTGAGGACTCAATTTCCGACTTATACATGTAAAAATTAATTTTCTAAGATCATTTTGATGAAGTAAGAAAAAGTTTACTAGATACCTACAATGAAATAATCAGCTCAGATTGAGACGCATTTTGGTAGTGGTGTCAAAAAAAGTCATATTCGCATGAAATTTACTTTAAAATAGCACCCGGCCAGCAGCAGGAGCAGAACCGCTCGGCCGCTCTGTGGCATCCAGACCGGCGGCTGGCCCAGGGTGTCATTCACTCGTCGGGGGGTAATAAAGCTATTGTGCACCTGCAGTGATAGTTTGACAACAGCACAGCCCTGCGTCGGTCCATCTGCCGAGGAGTCCGCCTGTCTCGGCAGCGGCCTGGGCGCGGGGTATCGCCAGGCCCGGCCGGAGGGGTCGCTTACTTTTGTCACGCATAGTAACAGTAAATTCCGTACAAAGTACAGTAGATCCTGTAATAAGGTACAGTAAATCCTGTACTCTGAACTACAGTGACAGCTGTACTAATCACTAAAGGATTTGCTGTGATTTTTTCCCACAGTGGGGTACCTAGTCACTCTCTCTGTGTATATTTCTCCTAATTGCTTTTTATTTTATTACTTGGTCTCTCAGCGGACATCTATAACAGTTGCGCCTACTCGCTTTTTTGTGCGTGTTTTTCGTTCAATTTCTACGTATCAATTTCATTCTTTATAACATTTAAATGCGAGATGATTTAACTTTATGTTAGTTTACGTTGCTTAAGCAGAGAAGTGAGCGCATTTCAAACCTTCCTCTTTTAAGTATCACTTTTAACACTTTCAAGTGCGAGCTGATTTATACATGGTTAGTTTATGTTAATTAAGCAGACAAGTGAGTGTATCTCACACCGTCCTTTTTGGCCCGTCCCGTTAATTTTTTGTAAAAAAAATGACGGAGGGACGGGCATATAGTATGATCCCTGCTGTGCGTCCGTTCGTTCGTTCGTCCGTCCGTCCGTCCGTCCGTCCGTCCGAGGACTTCCCGTGGTCCGATCTTGCCCAAAATTTGGTATGCAGCCTCCTTGGGTGACCCTAAGAACCGCCCGGTGGCAGCAAATCCGATCCGACCCCCGGGGGGCGCTGCTGCAGGTGCATCATGGTCTACAGGGGGTCGAGGAGGATCTCGGCAACGGATGCAGCTAGGAGGGCATGTAGGGGTATTTTTGGAATCGGGACGACGAGAGAAAACCAATGGTGCCAGTTTCGAGCGAATCGGAGAACTTCGGACCCGGGTTCAAATCCCAGCGGAGTATTTTTTGAACATTCTTTTTATTCGAGTTTTTGCATTGTTTCTGACGTTTTTGAGGGTGCTGATGACGAAAACGACATTTATTTTAACCCCAGACTCAGGTTTAATTCCCGTCAGGGTCAAACATAGGCGAAATTCGTACGTTTCACTGTAAAAAATCCCGGGGGAAAATTTACGCATTTGGACCGGGCAACGCTTGGTCCCCCATCAAGCGGTAGTTATTTCTCATGTAATGTGTAGGTAAATTGATCAGTGACGTAAGAAATTTCTCCACCCATTTCTTGTGAAATTTGGGCACATGGACTGAGGGTGTATCTTTCCCGAGCCACAGGGGTAAATTTCTACCGACCCAAAATAACTCACGCCACAGGGGTAAAATTATCCTGCTGGCTTGCGCCAGTGGCTAAAACCATGTTAGTGTGACTAAACCTTGCCCACGTTATTGACTTCAATGGGAGTCGAACCGTCAACCTTGTGATTCAATTCACACCACGCTATCCACTGCGCCACGAGACATCCTGCAGGCAGGTCGCTGCGAGCTCTGTACTGGTCCGGCCGGACTGGCCGAGCAGAGGCGCGAGGAAATTTGCCCCTGTGGCGCGGGAAAGATGGTAGGCCACTCCAGATGTAGAAATTTATTCTGACTTGCTGGGGTAATTTTACTGTCGTGGCAAGTGAAATCAGTTTATCTTCCCAAAGAGTAAATTTACTTTTGTGGCTCATAAATTTCCCCACACTGTCAGTGGGTAAATTTTCCAGCCACAGAGTTAGTTTAGCTCTGCGCATCTATTACGTGAGAAAAAATTTTCTCAGGCCATGGCGTAAAATTTATCAGTGCAGTGCACGGGTAAATTTACCCATGATTTTTTACAGTGTTCTTAATGTACGGGACGGGCCAAAGTTGCCGATGTATATCGCTACTTTTCCTGTTATTTATTACTTGGCCGCTTTTGCTGGTTATATTGAAGGTTGACTAACTTATCGCTCTCTCAAGAAAGCGCAGTCATTTTTTAACATTTTTTTTGGTCTCCTAAGGGAGAGTGGGGCACATTGTATCACTTTTTTCGTTTTGGGCTGTGACACCCTTGAGTGGGAACATAAACCTAATTTTTTTATCCCAAAATACAAAGTAGTCCTTTATATTGAAGATCCAAATCAAAATTTTCATGTTGCCAAACTGGTTTAGAGTGTAATCGCACTTTGATTTATCCTTTGCAATCGATACAAAGTACCCCACTAATGGGGTACTTTGTATCAGGTATGGGGCAATATGTATCACATTAGATTTCTCAAGAATATGGCTGCAATTAGGCATAATTTAGTGCAAAATCGATTTGAACATCATGTATTTGTTCTGAAGGTTATTATGAAATGACAGGCAGAGCTGCATAAGATGCAATTTTTATGTAAAAAAAATAGGCATATTGTATTACGGGGTAATATGTATCACTAGCTCTCGAACATGAAAACTCGCGCGCGGGGTGGGTCTCATAATGGGAAATCGAAAGACCCTTGGAAGTACTTCATTTTCCGCCAAGGCGGTGACTTCGTATTCGGTCAAAAACACAAAAAAAAAGGTGCTGATACAACTTCCCCCACAGTGCAGATAAGGGGCCGTTCAAATGTGACGTCACGCTTTTTAGGCTCATTTTTTGACCCCTCCCCCCCTGTAGTCACAAATGGTCACTATTTTGACTCACCCCTCCCCTCCCCGTGACGTCACATTGTCCAAATCATTATTCTTGGCAACGGGAATAGATACGCGACTACATCGTCTTAATTAGGTGCCTAAATTGGAATTTTCTAACAATTTGATTGCATTTTGGAAAATCCGGTCGAATCTGGTCTCACGCTAACTTGTTCGGAAAAATCTGAGGAAAGTGCAGTTAAAATACCCAAGCCAGGGACTGACAATTTAAGCTGAAGTAGGTGGGGATTGCTGATTTCAGTTCATTTTTTAGTGGCTCACTCCATTCATATTTGGCAATTTTACACTGCTTAAAAGTGTGATGTCACAATGCCTTCATCCCCCTCTCCCCCATGTCACATTTGGTCACGATTTCTCTAGACCCCTCCCCCCCTTAAAAGTGTGACGTCATTTTTGAACGGCCCCTAAACAAACAGGCAGGCTGGGCGCCCAAACCTGCGCCGAAAGGTACCGTTCGGCACGTCGACATAGTTGTCAAAGCCCATGCCATCAATGCCAGATCAAAATTTGAGCCTTTAACTGAGTGATAGCGATACAGCAAACAATATTCGATGAATTCACAATTTTACTATACGTTATTTCCAGTAGCCCTTTATTTTGTCCGCTCATACCGCCATTTCGGTTAGAGATACGAAGTCACCACCTGACGAAAAATGAAGTACTTCCAAGGGTCTTTCGATTTGCCAACACGAGACCCACCCCACGCGCGAGTTACGAGTTCTAGAGCTCGTGATACATATTACCCCGTGATACAATGTGCCCCACTCTCCCTTACATTATGATTAAATAGCAAACATTTTTTTTTTAATGAAGTTCTCATTTTTTAAGTCTACTGGTAATTACAATGTACGGATGTGCCATTTGTGATAAAGTAATGGATTTGAATGTCTGGTCTCTCGTTTATTTCCCTCCTGAATACGTACATGCATAACCTTGCGAACGGATGAGTCTGCTGGAAGAGGACCGTTTACGGCCGAAATAGTTCTCGAAAAAGTGGCAGGAGTGACGAGGGAGCGGCCCAGAACGACACTCCAATTTGGGCCGTCAAGAAAGTCAACCACCTGGTTTTCAAATATCAGCCTTGATCATCATTGCGGACCGACTCTATCCTGCGAAGAATCGTAGCGAATATGTTAGTGAATAGGGTAAGCCAAATGAATTCCTGAGATCAGAGACCAGATTTCTTCGGGGCACGTAGCTGAGGTTCGGAGTCTCCACACTTCAAGTGAGAAGCTCTCCACGTTTCAGTAATAAAACTTGCACGCAACATTACCCTCTGTTTTCCAGCGTACTCAGTTTATGCTTGAAAGCGAGCGCAACAGCCTCATCCGTCAAAATAAGCAGAGGAGAATTTCTGGTCTACGCTTCATTTCAAGCGTAACGCCGCGTACACTGCGAGAAAAGATCACGGTAAATCATGTACTGATTACTCCAGACTTCACCGTACTTTTTTTAACAGGCAATACCGTCGTTTTTTCACAGGCAATACCGTACTTTTTTTACAGGCAACGCCGTACTTTTTTTACAGGGAATTCCGTACTTTTTTACCCGGCAATCCCGTACTTTTAATACCTATCAAAAACTGCTATAATTTATTTCAGTCGGTCGACCCTCGTTTTTCAAGATTCTGATGTACGTAACTGCTGAAGTCGGGCTCCTGGACCCCCCTTCCGACCACTCTTTGAAAAGGTCTTGACGAGACCTATCGAAAGGTGCAATAAAATTTTTCAGTCGGTCGACCCCCTTTTTTCAAGATCCTGATGTGGACATTTCTTTGGAGCGGCCTTTGTTGGGACCAGATCTGGTCCTTCCTACGGCATGGACTGTACGCAAGAACGGTAACTACTGTTAAAAAACTACGGAATATTTTGTAAAACAAGTACGGTAAATACTGTAGACTGTACGGTGGATACTGGTTTTTGAAGTACGGTAATGTTTGGCAAAAAAATTATCCAGGAATTACCGTCATTTTTTCTCAGAGTGTAACGCCCTCAAGCAACTTTATGCTTGACTCAACCATAGAGTTACGCTTTGGTTTTACCATTGCAGCAACACTTGACGTGAGGAGACTGCAAACACAACACGACCAAATGTGGAGACAGAAACTCCACACTCGGTCTGACCAGTGCACGGGCACACACTAAATGTTCAGTACAATTTTTTTACGAGACATCACAGTTTTTCGTGCACACGAACTTCACGCACAAATTATGTACGAAAATCTGCACATTTGCCCCCCATTTTTGAGCAAAATCAAGAACAAATTTGTACCAAAATTTCTTGTGTACAAAAAAAAACTGTGATGTCTCGTACAAAATTTGTACAAAAACATTAGTGTGCAGTAAAGGCACGGGTTACCGAGAATACACACTAAATGTCATGGGACTTTTTTTGTCCCATGAATGATGCAATTTTAAGCACATTCGGTGGTGATGCAATCATGTGTCCGCCGGGCGGGACAAATTGTCTAGTAAAAGTACGATTTGCAGCGGGCGTCGGACAAAATGTGTCGCCAGACGGGAACAAAATTGTAGCAGCGTCGGATGTGCTTAAAATTGCATAAATCGTGGGACAAAAAAATGTCCCATGACATTTAGTGTGTAGGTGCCCCATTGGCCCTGCGCTCTCAGACCTATATGGACTTTTTCCTCTCTTGCTTTAAACGTTTTTTGAGCAAACGTAAAATGTACGATTGCCTCCTCAACTACGCACAAGGATAAAATTGTCTACAGATTATGTAGAAATTGAAAAGTGCATAGTAAATGACAATAAGTCAGGTTTAATGGACTAAATACAATACACAACGAACAAAATAGTGCATAGCTAAAGAGAAAATAGTACCTTTTTGGCACAAAAAAATGTTTGTAGCAAGAGATAAAAAGTCAATACGAGACTGAGAGTGTGAACGACCGAACTCACCGGCTTTGAATTCCACAGGCATGTCGCTCAGCCAATAGTCTGGTCGAATGCTCAGGACATTGTAGTCCCGATCGATTGGGACGTAGGAAGCCTTGTATCCTTGTATGCGAAGAAGTAGCATAGATTCTGTCCTGCGAAGTTTGAAGACCAATATGGCGGTAGGAAAATCCTCGTTTTGAGAGAACTCCTGGAACAGAATGACGAATGCAATGTGCAGGGCATCCAACTTGCTGATGGTTTTATTTGTGCATACCTATTCTCAATCACGCTACAAACCCAACTGTCCACTAACATTTACACTCTAAGCACGTTAGGGGCCGTTCAAATGTGACGTCACGCTTTTTAGGCTCATTTTTTGACCCCTCCCCCCCTGTAGTCACAAATGGTCACTATTTTGACTCACCCCTCCCCTCCCCGTGACGTCACATTGTCCAAATCATTATTCTTGGCAACGGGAATAGATACGCGACTACATCGTCTTAATTAGGTGCCTAAATTGGAATTTTCTAACAATTTGATTGCATTTTGGAAAATCCGGTCGAATCTGGTCTCACGCTAACTTGTTCGGAAAAATCTGAGGAAAGTGCAGTTAAAATACCCAAGCCAGGGACTGACAATTTAAGCTGAAGTAGGTGGGGATTGCTGATTTCAGTTCATTTTTTAGTGGCTCACTCCATTCATATTTGGCAATTTTACACTGCTTAAAAGTGTGATGTCACAATGCCTTCATCCCCCTCTCCCCCATGTCACATTTGGTCACGATTTCTCTAGACCCCTCCCCCCCTTAAAAGTGTGACGTCATTTTTGAACGGCCCCTTACTGACTTTTTCCTCATTAATTACGTATTCGTATAAACATCAATAATACTAGTAATTTCTAAGTAGGTATAACTAATTTCCTCTGTAAAATTGTGTACAAAACAAAATTCTCTGTACATTATTTAATATTTCCTAAGTAGTTCTTTAAAAAAGGAAAAGTACGTATTATGGTTGCACAAATTACTTGCATAAGTACTGACAAAATGAGCAAAAAGTCAATAACGTGCGTGTACAATTGACCGTGCGTGTACAAGCGTGTAAGGGAAGGTGGGGAACCATGTGACACGGCCACCATGTGACATTGGCTTTTTCTCCCAAACGGCTCGCTATCCAACAGCGGTAAGAAGACTCAAAGGAAGGTATCAAGAAGGGGCATCGACGTCGAACAGGCCGTGACTGTGCGTCGAACAGGGCGGAAAGTAGAGACACGAGAAATTTTTACCCCCCCAAAACAGGTAATTGGAATTTTTTTCTATTTCACGCCGCGTCCGCTTTTCACCTTTTAAACACACATAAACGGCCTATGCCTTGCAGGATGTTCTCCTTTGATGTTTTAAGCGTAAAATAAGCTTGGGCTCGCTTCTCTACCGCAAGGGATAAGGGCGCAGTTGTCAATTCCTCGAAAGCCACCCCTTCGGTCACGATGTGACACTCGATGTGGGGCACGATGTGACACCTTCTCTAATCCGCGATTTTCCTGTTTTCCCCAATAAGTCCTGCTTTTGTGTGTTGTAGGCGTGGGATATTACACTAACCCTTGTGTGAATGTGTTTGAGAGAGGTTAGGGGTGGCTGGGCGTCTCTGGGGGCTCGAAGGCAAAGCCTAGCGCCGCCTGGTGGCCAGGTTTGGAACTACAAAAGAGTTGGCCTCTGCAGACGACACCCATGGCCGGGCGCGGGCCGGGCCGACCTGCAGACGGTACACTGAGAATGAATGGGTCACCACCATCACCCATTAAATGGGTGATGCAACTTCGTTGCCCAATTTTAGGTGACGAAAAAATCATCACCCGAAATTTGGTAACAGGCGTTCGGTCGCCCAAATTTGGGTAGCGCCGTCGACGACGCCGTGAGGTCCCCGATGACGTCCTTCCGGGGCCAGCACGATGACCGGAGGCCTCAACGCCACATGGATCATCGTGGTGGCCTCGGAAGAACGTCATGGGGGACGTCACGGCGTCGTCGACGGCGTTCCCCAAAATTTGGGGTGACGATTTTATGACTGCCCAAAATTTGGTCACCGCGGCTCGTCACCCAAATTTGGGCGTCGATGCGTGCGACAAAAATAAGTTGACTTTTTAAAAAAATTGTATTTTGTTTAACATAGATGTGTTTCCTTGTTTTCCTAACCATTTTTGAAATACATCTACAAATTTTCCATTGAAAAACAGCAATTTTTACACATTAGTCTGAGGTGTCACATGGTGCCCAGGGGCTGTCACATGGTGAACTCAGTGGTACACCATGTGACTTTTACATGCACCCAATCAAACTGGGATACCTTCGCAACCAATCGAGGAAAATAAAAAGCTCAACGGGACTTTGAAGTTAAGGGACCCCTCTTTGTCGGCACGAGCAGTATGGATCCGTACAATTGTTAGTTTCGTTTGGCGGGATCCGCCTAAAAGTGTCACATGGTACCCCCCCTTTCCTTACAAGTGAACGCTTGGTGCCTTATAGCTCCATCCCAAAGCTACACTGCCGTTCAAAATTAGCGGCTCCTATTTTGAAAACGGCACAGTTTCTTTGTTTATCGACCTAGGACGCTGAGTCGAGGATGCCCAACTGGTCTTCTTGAGCGAAGTATGCGGTCCGTGTGTCACTCCAATATCGATTCCGATCGAAGTCGACCTCCTTCGATTGAGCCCCGAAGGATTCGTAAGAGCCTAACCGCGTGAACAGTATGCAGACAGTCGGCACCTTTAGAATTACACTCTGCCTTAGCAACGAGGGCCAACAGCCCACTGGACCCCTCCCCGGAAACGGTCAGGCAGCTGCAGGAGTCGTTGGAGCCATGAGGAAGCGCACGCCGTGGTAATTTTCCTTATGCTTCATCCGAGCCAGCACCGTGTCCCCGACGTTCATGATCAAAGTAGGCACTGCGGTAAACAGGACAAATCAATAACAGCAAGCAGTGTAAAAAATTTCCGTACACATAAATGTCATGGGACTTTTTTTGGTGCCACGATTTATGCAATTTACGCACATCCGACGCTGTTACAATTTTGTTCCGGCCTGGCGACACATATCGTCCGACGCCTGCTACAAATTGTACTTTCACTAGACAATTTGTCCCGCCTGGCGGACACAAAATTGCATCACCACCGGATGTGTTTAAAAATTGTACTTTTGAGGGAAAAATGTACAGTCCAATATTGGACTGTCTATGCGCTGTCCGCGGCGGGCAGCGCAGGGCAGATAGCCTCGCGGCGGACAGTGCTTTATGGGCGAGTGGCCGCTCTAAAAAGTCCCGGCGCCCCCAGACCGGGGCGTAGCAAGCCCGCATGCGCGGCTGTAGGCGGTAGCCTGCAATCATTTTGTAGCGGGGTTTTTGGACCACCTGGTTTTAGACAATATTACGAGCGCAAATCGGCCCGTTCTCGAAATGGTGGCCTTACACACTAAATGTCACGGATTTTTTTGTCCCCCGGTTTTTCGCAATTTTTAAACACATCCGACGCTGATACAATTTTTTCCCCTCTGGTGACACATTTTGTCCAGCGCCAGCTGCAACTTGTACTTTCACTAGACAATTGTCCCGCCCGGGGGACACAAAAATTTCATCACCACCGGATGTGCTTAAATTTCATCATTCGTGGGACAAAAAAAGTCCCATGACATTTAGTGTGTAACATTGTTTCAGAAGCATAGATTCCTTTTACAAATTTTACATTTACGGCGTCATTTTGTTCGTTCAGAACTACACTGTCAGGTTGGATCCTCATGAGCGGACCCCTCATCTCGAGTTTCGGGGCTGGTGCGGCTGGAGGCTGATTGAATAGCTTCGCTAAGTAAAATTAAAGTTTCAGATAAAGTTAAAGATTTAGGGCCCAGCAATAACAGCGCACCCACCACTAGTACAGGTGTCACTGTCTTCGTCACTCGCATCGTTGCAATCTCTGTTGAGGTCGCACCTCCACCTGGCATCGATGCATCTGCCGTCTCGGCACTGCCACTGGTTGTCACGTCGGCAGCCGAAGCCTGGGCCTGTCAACCGAAGGTGATGACAAACAGTCATGTGCTGCTGCTCACAAAATGTCTATGGACTTTTTAATTGTTACTGAAAACAGTTCAGTGCGGCACCAAATCTGGTCAAGAACAGGGATCCTTAAAAAACATTCAGCTAACACTGCTTTCATAGCGTAACAAAAGAAAATGTTCGCTTTATAGTAAGGGTGTGAAATGTTGGACGGGTTATAACTTTAACGCCTACGATGCTGTTTCAAGGGAAGCTACGGATCTCTGGTTTGGTTACAAAATTAACGGCAGCTTAGACAAAATTGTTACTGGCTGATATTACAATTTTGTCACCAGAATTGGTAATGTTCCAGTTGCCAACGAAAATGGTCCGTGAACATTCTGTGAGTGGGCTGTACCGAGTGGAGCGATGCAGAATGCAGAGTAAGCTCACCTTGGATGGTGGTTAATGTGGCACATTCAGGTGATGCGGTGGCCGTCGGCAACGACGATGGCACTGAAAACACGACAGGTATAGGTTGAGCAATGAAGCGACTTGACGCATCACCACTAAAATTCGAAGGGTGAGACATCTGACCCATTTTCGGTGATACAATAAGTATGACCGAAAAACGGTCGTAGACAAATGTATGACCGAAAAAGGGTCATACTTAAATGTATGACCAAAAAAAGGTCAGACATTAGCGAGACTGGCTATTGTTTAGCTTGGGGATATATCAGCCTTTACCTGTGACACACTATGAAGTATGACCGTTTTTCGGCCATGCATCGAAGTATATGACCTTTTTTCGGTCTTACACACTAGGGTCAGTTGGGGTAATAATGGGACACTGAAAACTTGGGGAAAAATGGGACACTTTCTAAACTTGACGAGTTTTGGCATTTTAAAACGTCCTACAATGACATGTTTGTGCTTAAAATGTTCATTGAGGTGTCTAGTATTCCATTTTTCATTCGGCGGGACAATGACTGCTCATGGAAATGAGAATTAAGAAATCAAGCAAAACATGGCAATTATGGGTTTTCTAGAGGTTGGAAAAATTTGCCGCAGAGGTCATCTAATTAGAACACTACAGAACCCCCCATAAACAGAAAAGTGAAGTATTATAGTGTGTTGGAAAGCTAAAAGAACGAGGATTTCGATCCACCAACTCATTTTGACATCAATGCATTCGTTAACTTGCAATTGTAGAATTTTCCTGTGGGGGACACCACTTTGGGGAAAAATGGGACACTCCTGGGGTAAAAATGGGACACTTGGATAATGTTAAATTGTGGCCTTTGGGGAGAAAATTTTCAAAGTTGTTCGAATTGACATCTCTAAACGGAAATAGATAGGCCTCGACAATACAAACAAAAAATGTCAACACATGCTATGGGTTTGGACGGATATTTAAAAAGTTAATGGGCTTTGAAATTAAGAAATAGTCGCAAAAGGTCAAATTGCACCCAAGTTCTTTTGAAGCGCAATGCCTCTTCATTTTTCATCCGAACCGGTGGCATGTGATGACATTTATTGTTCCTCGTGTTGAGACGGATCGAATTTTATAAAGTGGTGTCTATTTGGAAAACTTTGAGGCCTGTTTTACCTCTGCTAAGCCCTTGTCCCATTTTTACCCCAGCGTGTCCCATTATTACCCCAAACTTACAAGTCCGAATTTTCACAGTTTATTTTACACAACTGCAAAATTAAATGACTTTTTGATCTTATTTTAACGCCAAATGGTGTGGAACAGAGTACCCTATCCTTTAAAAGCATTAGAAACACTCCAACTCGCCACTGTTGAGTTGTGGAAACCTTATTATTCAAACTGTCCCATTATTACCCCAACTGACCCTAAATGTTTATGTACAATTTTGTACGTGGTGATGCATAATTTTAAACTTGTGTGCCGTCGTGCATAAAATTGTGCGTGATTTTGCATGAATTTATGCATTTTCACGTATAATATTATGCAAATTCCCCGCATGCACAAAATCGTGCAAGTGGCACGTACAAAATTCTACATAAACATTTAGTGTGTACATTTCAGCACTGGTGAAACAAAGGCATAAATCGTTAATGCCTTTGGGAAGGGCATTAAAATTTTGCTTGAAATTCCCATACCATTTACGCTCTTTCCAAGGGCATAAAACGATTATGCCCTTGGGAAGGGCGTAAAAGAGTATTTATGCCCTAAAGGGCGTAATTTTTATGCCTTTGTTTTACCAGTGAGTGTACCCTTTTTCGGCAGTACATTTCAGTAAGACCGTTAAAGGGGTCAAAAGTGTCACCTTTCTATTTTCAGTGACCGTATAAATCCATTGGAAAGTTTTCTTGTGACTACAGTGACGCTCCGTTCTGAATGCCAAAATTTGGCCTCCTAGCTCGCTCCTAGCCCTGGACCTCCCTTTGAGATGAGAAAGACGAAATCTGGCGTCCCAGGCCGCCGGAATTTTGGGATTCTGAGGTCAGTCCAGGGCCAGAAGGCCTAATATTGGCGTTCTAAACGGAATGCCTTTGGGGAGGCAAGGAAGAAACTTAACAATGGACCTTGCAGTGATTCTTTCTGCGTGCACTTTCTTCCTAACAACGTCCTTTCAACTCAATTCTCACCACTGAAGTCGACTCGCATGTCAGTGTACCACGCTATAGGCCGAACCCGAAGCCATCGCGTGTCGTTTCTCGCGCGGACGTAGGCCACTTTGTCCTGGTGGCACGACAGCCAGAGCTGGAGCTTGGTGTCGCGCCGCTCCACTACCGCTTCGATGACACCCGATGAGAAGGTTGAAGACTCGATGGCGTAGCCCTGCCCCAGAAAGAAACCCAATTTTGGACGAGGTTCTATCACCCGACTTTGGGTGAGGAAGTATCCTTGTCAAAATTTGGGTGATAAGAATTCCTCAACGAAAATTTTAGTCCTGATCATGACTCTTTCATTCAGTGCATCCAATGGAATGTCTTACGAATAAATTTCACATGGCGAAGGAAATGGCGCTAGCATAATACGAAGGCAGTTTTTCTTCGTACGAGGGTTGTTCCTCGTATCTTACAATGAAAAAACTAAAAGGGTTCGTATTATGAAGAAATGTGGCTTAGGACTAAGCTTGCGCCTCATTCACTGAAACATTGCTCAAATTTCATTGAAAAGGATTCAGAGTGTTGCTTTTGCAAGTACACACTTGCGAGTACCTCGAGGCTTGATCTCAAGCTCCACTGTAATTCAAAGGGTGAGACATCTCACCAATTTTCGGCGATACGAAATGTATCACCGAAAAAAAGGTCGTACACGAATGTATCACCGAAAAAATGGTCGTACACGAAGTATCACTGGAAAAAAGGTGATAAAAGGGTGATACTTCTCTAGAAAAACAAGGGCCAATCTCGCTGATGTCTCACCTCTTTTTCGGTGATACATTTGTGTACGACCTTTTTTCCGGTGATACATTCGTGTACGAACTTTTTTTCGGTGATACATGCGTGTACGAACATTTTTTCGGTGATACATTTTAGTATCTTTCTTTTTGCGGTGATACAGTTACGTCTCACCCGTCAGAGAGTGAGATGTATCACTATTTGATTTTCAGTGTCTAGGCTTGTGATTACCTGCACACAAGTGCATGCTTGGCCCCCTAACTGCATGCTACCCATGTGCTCTGTAACTTGGCACTTGCCAAGCATGCAATGGTCCGTGTGAAATAGCCAGGCACTTGTCAGAAAATTGGAACCAATTATTCAAGCTTGCTGTACTATAAGCATGTACCTGCAAGCACACACTTTAAGATGTCTTACGCAGTTGAGCACAATTATCGTAACGAAAACTGTAACGCAAGAACGCAAACGGGGTTCTGAATTGAAAATTACAAATGGAATCTACGTTGATTCTACGTTACACTCATGAAGGAAAAGGGCCAGGACTCAAGCGAGTACCTACCGTGTGGTGCTTGCGGCACCTGAGGCCGTGCTGGTCACAGTTTTCCCAAGCAATGTAGTACAGTGCCCCGTCAGGCGCGGACCCAAACGCCTCGATTTTGCTGCAGACAGTGTCCTCGTTGCAGAGAAGGAACATCACCCCGCTGTACACGGCTTGATAGTGAAGGCGAAAAGACACGGTGTGCCCGACGGACATAACAACCGTTGGAACTGAAAATGATGGCACAAACAAATTCCTCACTGCTCATCCAAGTGTGAGACACGGTTTGACCCACACTTGCTGCCTAGTGTTCCCTGCGGTTTCTAGTGGTTCAATGCCACAGGACCCACGCTTGCAGTGTAAGGCAAACCGTGTCTCACACTAGCAACACTGCAAAGCCGGTGGTAAGTTTGCTTGCCTCAGATTTGGCAAGCCGTTTTGAGTGCCAAAAATTGGCAAGCTTGGCCTAGAAATACCACCCAGCTTGCCAAAATCTGGCAAGCTTATGAAGATTTCCGACCAAAGCTTGCCAAATTTTGGCATTCAAAACGGCTTGCCAAGCAAACTTACCACTGGCTTTGCAGTGAACGTGTAAGGCATCGCTGTCTCACACGTGCAAGCGTGCGACAAATGTGACTCACAACTTGTAAGCAAAAAACACTTATAAGTGTGAGACTTCTCAACTTGGATTGCCAGTGCATTTCGTTCACGTTGTCCAGGGTAGGTTTTAGTGAAAATATTCCTTTCTTCAAAACGGGTCCCACCGTGTTTTTATCGTAGAAATATTAAGTTTTGGGCAATGGAAAAGGAAGCAATGTCCTTGTAAATTTTCCGTATGAGTTTACGCCTTGGAACTAAAACGTTTAAGCCGATACAAGCGAAAATAACTCTGGAAAGCGCTGTGAACCAACTACTCTCACAATGTTCCATCCACGACGCTATTATTATACGGCATTCTCAATCGACGGCTCCGAAAATAATACGCGCAACTCAGGCCGCTGCTTACAACAAGCGCAACTCCGGCTGCCGGTTACAACAAGAGTAACTGGCGGCCGCGCTGAGAACCCGCGCATCGCTTCCCGGCGGCGTCCACGCTAGGTTATGTTTGACAAGTTATATCTCCTAAACCGTGAGAGTTAGATGGGTAGTGTAAGCGAGCCGATTGTAGGTCTAAGTTAGATCTCAAATCGGCTCGCTTACACTACCCATCTAACTCTCACGGTTTAGGAGATATAACTTGTCAAACATAATCTAGCGCGGACGCCGCCGGGAAGAGATGCGCGGGTTCTCAGCGCGGCCGCCAGTTACTCTTGTTGTAACCGGCAGCCGGAGTTGCGCTTGTTGTACGCAGCGGCCTGAGTTGCGCGTATTATTTTCGGAGCCGTCGCAATGTACCTCCGTAGCAAGTTTCATCGGCTTCGTCGCTGTTGTCCTCGCAGTCCGGAGCTCCATCGCACCTATTGTTCCCATAGGTGCAATCACCACTTTTGCACTGCCACGAATACGTTTCATTACACGTACGTCCTGAAATGAAACAACACACTAAATGTTAATGTAGAATTTTGTACGTGCCACTTGCACGATTTTGTGCATGCCGCGGGGAATTTGCACTATGCGTGAAAATGCATATATTTATGCAAATTCACGCACGATTTTATGCACGACGGCACACAAGTTTAAAATTATGCATCACCACGTACAAAATTTTACATAAATATTTAGTGTGAATGAAAAGACAAAAGTACATCGTACGGTTTTAGGCCTAAGGGTGAATTAAGACCATAGATGAGTGCTAATTTTTGCTCTAACCACTGTGGCAAAAAGCTGCGGAAAATTACGTCAGCAGCTTGTGGTAATTCTCCGTAGCCCCCTTGTCAATAGTCTCCTAGGACCCTACAGTATTCTCCGTACCGTCTTCTCCGAAGGAGGACCACAAAGAACCCTTACGGAAGGTCCGCTCCTCTTCCGTGCCCCGTTTTCCGTAAGTTTTCCCTGCCAAACCACGGATTTTTTTGCAGTGTACCTGGCCACGGCCCCGGTGGAGTGGGAATGCGAGTCGGATCGGCATTCTGTCCCGATCCGTCCGTTCCAGGTGAAATCGCAGTCACAGTCACTGGAGATTCCGAGGATCCTGCTACCTGCGTCGTGGGGAGTGTTGTAGTTCCAGTAACAGGAGAATCGGATGGGGATATCGCTAAAGTGACGAGGGCCGTGCAGATACCAATAGTCGTCACACCAGCTATCCACCAAGCGTACTTCTTCCCTGAGCACCAATCAGAAATCCTCATTAAATACCAATACTGATATTTCTAATGCGATAAGTTTCATTCAGCAAGCAGGGACAAAAGGGCTAAATGCTTTAAGTTTTTCAGACTTGGACTGGTTTTGTCCGTTAAATCCTTGGCCAAGGCGGGCGGTTCTCGTCAGACACGACAAAGTTTTTACTCTGTAAAAGGCTATGCCATGAGACACAGTGCAAGACGAATACATTCAAGGTATTACCTTGCTCTCTATTTTCAATCTAAGAACGTAACAACGGTTCTGGGGTCAGGACGGAAAAGAACCAAACACCTTAGGGGTGGGGAAAAATCGCACACCCTATTTTTAGCCTGGTTTTCCTAATTTTGAGATCAACTATTGCAGTTACGCGTTAGTGTAGGGTACCAATACTCAGTAGAGTTTTTTTCCGAGCGTCAGTGTGTGACAGTTCTGTCTGAAAAAGGGGTGTGCGATTTTTCCTCGCCCCTCACTGAGCAAACCTTACGAGCTATTTTAGGCCTTACAAAGAAAAGGAGCTTGTAATTTTGAGCAGACATAAGCTTACAAAAAAAATACTTCGCAATTTACGAACTATATCTTCGTAAAACAAAGTAAATTAGTTTGTACCGTATGCTCAAAATACTTTGTAAGGTTTTAAGCGTACTGCAGTATTCGAATCCCCGTAACTACGAAGAAAATAAAGGCATTGTAGAGTTGCTTCGTATAAGAAATGGTTCGTATTACGAAGGGTTTTGCTTCATTATACGAAGCATTTCTTCGTAGATTTGACGATGCCTTCATTTTCTTCGTACGAAGCCGTTCTTCATGGAGTTTTTACTGTGGACCTGACCCTCGAGGGGTGAATCACTAGTATACACATGTGTACAAATTTGCCCCTACTTAGTGTACTCACAATTTTTAAAAAAGGGGGAAATTCTCTAGTTTTTCGACCGATTTGACGTTGAGTGCCGTTAAAAACACTAAATAAAGCCTTAAAACGTTTTAAATTGTTAAATTTATGAGTAAACCAAGGTGTACTCACCCGTACTCATGTACTCATGTGAACACCAGAACGCTGAGTGATTCACCCCTCGCTGACCCTAATGTTCTGTTTGCTGGCGACCAAACGAAAATATTCTTTGAAACTTACATTTTATTTGTTTCTGCACTGAACAAGGGACGTTCGTTTTGGGCGACGGCTCTTGGTTCGGAGCCACGCTTCCTGAGCGCCCCGAAGTGTCCGGGGCGTTTGCCAGCGCATTGAGGACAGCCGACAGAATGGGCTCGTTTCGTTGCCCCGCCGCGAGAGCGCTGCTGGCCGTGTCGGACGAGACGACGAACTTTATATGCGTCGGGCCGATGAAGACGTGGTCGCAGTGCCTCGCCGATATATTGCCATATATCTGAAGAGATAAAATAAATGCGATATAAAATGACAGAAAGTGCAGCACTGCAAGAAACAGTGTGAATAGTACAACAGAAGTACAAGAACTGTACAATTAAAGTATACAACAGGGATGGTAGAAAGTACAACGAGAATTGTGCAAACCACGAGGCGTGGACTGCACAACAGTCGTCCCATGCCGGTTCCATTGTACACTGACAAAAATTTTGTCGTAACTTAGCGACACATTTGTCGCTAATTTTTTTAGCGACAAGATTTGTTGTGGAACGAATAGCTTGTTAAACCAAACTCGTACTGGAACTAAAGGATAATTTCACAATGACTAACTTGTAATAACACTAATGTAGACTGCTAATGCAGTCTACTTTCAAATACAAGTCGTTGACCAACAACAAATGTTGTTGGCCAACGACAAGTGTTGTAAGTCGAAAAAGATTTTGTAATGTCTGGGACAAGTATTCATGAAGTACTTTTGTCGCTAAATTTATTTTGCCTAGTTCTTTTTTTAATAATATTATTTACTATTTAGTAATGTCGCTATGACTAAAGAAAACCAATAGATGATTATTCATAATTTGCTTTAATTGAGCAGATAATTGCAAAAGATTTTGTTTCCATACAAATAGTATCGTTAAGGGTGATAACAAGAATTTTGTTCTTCAACAACAAATTGTCGCTTACAAGATTCAACGACATTTCTTTCGCTTTGGTTCATGATAAAATTCTTTGTTTTGGAACGACTAAATTTTCACTCATCTGATTGTTTCTATACAACCATTTTTTTTAACAGTGTACTTTGTTTGCACAACAATTATTGTACTTTGAAGGCACAATAAATTTCTGATAAAAATTTGCCAGGAATTTGTGCACTTTTGTTGCGTTTTTTACTCGTTCTTTACCCCTTTTGCTTATATAATGATGATGAAAGTAAAAAGGAACGAGTATTGCCCCTGGCTTGGTGTAATTTAGCAACACACTTTCATCTCAGTATATACAGCATGTACATGTGTGAAGAGATGTTCAATGTAATCGGGAGTTGGTACCCGACGTTCCATAAATGGACTTTTTTTCAACTTATTACACGAATTTCGGAGATCACTTAACAAAATACGGGTGTGTTCTGTAGGTTAAGTCCCGCGACCGCATTTGGAGCTGTTGGATAGACGTTTTTGCGACGTGACATTGAAAGAAATGGTTCCCAATCGCATTTTCGTACTTCCATAGAACTAATCGTGAGATTTCATCGGGATAAGAAAATGAGAAATGGTACTTTACTTAATAGCACTCAGCTCGCGAATTTTTTAAGTCCCAGTCCCTCCCTAACACCGCATTTTTTCATCTCAGTATAGACAGCATGTACAAGTGTGAAGAGATGTTCAAAGTAATCGGGAGTTGGTACCCGACGTTCCATAAATGGACTTTTTTTCAACTTATTACACGAATTTCGGAGATCACTTAACAAAATACGGGTGCGTTCTGTAGGCTAAGTCCCGCGGCCGCATTTGGAGCTGTTAGATAGACGTTTTTGCGACGTAACATTGAAAGAAATGGTTCCCAATCGCATTTTCGTGGTTCCATAGAACTGATCGTGAGATTTCATCGGGATAATAAAATGAGAAATGGTACTTTACTTAATAGCATTCAGCTCGCGAATTTTCTAAGTCCCAGTCCCTCCCTAACACCGCATTTTTTCATCTCAGTATAGACAGCATGTACAAGTGTGAAGAGATGTTCAAAGTAATCGGGAGTTGGTACCCGACGTTCCATAAATGGACTTTTTTTCAACTTATTACACGAATTTCGGAGATCACTTAACAAAATACGGGTGCGTTCTGTAGGCTAAGTCCCGCGGCCGCATTTGGAGCTGTTAGATAGACGTTTTTGCGACGTAACATTGAAAGAAATGGTTCCCAATCGCATTTTCGTGGTTCCATAGAACTAATCGTGAGATTTCATCGGGATAAGAAAATGAGAAATGGTAATTTACTTAATAGCATTCGGCTCGCGTATTTTCTAAGTCCCAGTCCCTCCCTAACCTAAGATCAGTGCCAGTGCGCATGCGCATGCGCCCGCATATGTAGGGTAGCCTCTCGCCTGGGTCAGTACGTGATGTGAATATGTGACTGGATAAACTCTCTGCTCCTGAATCTATAAACCCAAGTTCAAATACCGATAATGTTATGCCACTCGTTCTTTTTTTCTTGCATAATCAGTCTTTCACAATTAAATTATTCTCAAAACATATACTCAAGGTTTCAGTTTTGTGAAAACTGATCAGAACATCTCTCCACACAGTTATGTGGTAAAGAACGAGACACATTTTTATACTACCACTGTTGAATAATTGGCTACTTGTTTTTCTTGCAGTGAGGGATCTGCGCCAGCTACCAAAGTCTTTACTTGTCGACTTGCAAATATAAATCCTAATACTTTTTGGGAAGTATATAGTGCAAACGTATCATGAGGATGGCAGCTGCAGAACATTACCACAAGTATCGTCACCATCGACGGTCCAAATACAGTTAGATGGCACTCTCATCCTGACACATCACGTTGAAACGAATGTGACAAAATATCACGTTCCTTTGAGCATGATTCAGAATTCGTTTCGATGTGAATCAGCCATAAATTAGCTTTAGTCACGTTGCAAAGAATGTGACACTGTGCTCAAAGTATCGAGGCATTTTGTCACATTCCTTGTTAACGTTTGTCACGTTCTTGGAATGAGAGTGGGGTCGGTTGTGGTTTGAGCAAATGCTTACACTCTCAGTCCAGGAACGTGACATCACGTTGAAACGAACGTGACAGTCACATTCGTTTGGGTGTGCATTGGACAAAAATCGGCTTGTTCACATTCAAACGAACGTGACACAATGCTCAAACGAACGTGACATTTTGTCACGTTCGTTTCAACGTGATGTCACGTTCCTGGAATGAGAGTGTACAATCGGTTTGCTTACAAAAGCCAAAAACGGTTAATATATATGCCAGTTCGATCTGTTGAATAATAACAGTTTGGCTAAGAAATCACTCCCTTTAACTCCCGTCGATTGTGGTGACCGTTCCGACACAGTTTTGCTATTGCCGTCCCCTTTATCGAACAGCAATGCTGAATCTTATAGATCACAAGAAATAACATTCAAAGTCACTCCGTCAAAGCAAGTGCGGAGAACTCCACACTCCCTGATGAGGGCTATTTCTTCACACTTGGCGTGGCGAGTTTGTTTGCAGTCACAAGTGCACAGTAGCTCACAGAGCCATTGGCATATTGCTAACGTGGACGTGGAGAACTCCACACTTGAAGTGTGGAGGACTGAAAATTCCATTACTCCACATTTGAAGTGTCGAGTTACCAGCTCCACACACTCTTAAAAGCCTGCGAAGCAGTGTTGCTTCACAACTACGACTAGGGGTACGCGCCGTTTAGTCTGGGCGCGTAGTGTGGCTGAGCGATGCGAATTGACATGGTTTGTGCACTTTGGACTTTGCTTGAGAAGACGAAATGTGCATCTTAAGGACTCATATTGAGTGAACTTTAGACCAGGGGTACAAATGGAAGTGATTTTCGTTATCAGAACACCAAAAACTGCTGGGATCAATGCCAAACTCGATTTAAAAATTTTGGTCCAAAATGGGTTAAAATTCGGTTAAATGTGAGTCTGGGAAAAGTTTGAAGGTCATTTTTGAGTTCAGCACACAAAAACTGCAGGAAACAATAAAAAACTCGACTTGAAAATTTTGGCCCAAAAATGACCTAATTTGGGATGAAAATAAGTCTGGAGTCGAAATGAGAGTGATTTTCGTTATCAGCACCCCAAAAACTGCTGGGATCAATGTCAAACTCGTTTTAAAAAATTTTGGTCCAAAATTGGTCAAAATTCGGGTAAGTGTGAGTCTGGGAAAATTTTGGAAGTCATTTTTGAGTTCAGCACCCCAAAAAACTGCAGGAAAAATATAAGACTCGACTTGAAAATTTTGGTCCAAAATGACCTCGTTTCGGATGAAAATATAAGTCTGATGTCTAAATGGAAGTGATTTTTGCTATCAGCACTCAAAAAACTGCAAGAATCAATGTGCAATTAAATTTTAAAAAAATTTGACCCAAAATGGGTTTAAAATTTTGGGTCTGGGGACAATTTAGAAGTAAATATTGAAGTCAGCGCACTGAAAACTGCAGGGAAACGCATGACTCTCAAATTAGAAATTTTTGCCCCAAATTGCGTAGCTCTAGGTGAAAGTGTAGGTTTGGCATTGAAATAAATGTAGCTTTTGTGACTAGTACACTGAAATCTACAAACAACTATCTAGACTCAATTTCTGTACATTCCTACACTGTCTTCATGAAGCCCCCTCTGTCATCCCCAAATTTCCCCTGATGCCACACCAATGTGAATCCCTCAGTCGAGTAACATTCAATTGCCAGCATTGAATCGCTTAATTGTTACTCGTATGATTGGGTCACTATTCGATATCTTTTTTTTCTTAACTAATGAATTCTCAATTTTATAAGTAATATCTATGAAAATTTTGTCATTTTTTCATTGTGAACCAGTGAATAAAACAATATTGATTGGCATCGTTATCACATTTAATATTAAGAGAGTCAGTTTAGGGTAGGCTGATCTGAACCAGTTAACGGGGACCAATTATTGTCAAATCCAGTGATTCGTCATATAGAGTCCAATGCCAAGGCTACCCCAAAGGGTTAATGAACCGACACAATTTATCTTACTCAGGTATGCAATACTGAGTAGTACCAGTTATATTAACTTCAGTGAAGTGAAAGGAATCGTCTCATTAAAACCATTCACTAATTCACTCACCGCTCAAAAACCCGAGTCGTCTCTTTGAACCCAATATCAATTCAAAATCTATTAGGATTAAATATACACAACCATACATTGATTCTATTAATAAACACATGTTAGTACTTTTGCACTCTTGTCAGCTTGCAGCATTGCAATAGAATGTATTTCTCGAGTCCAAACTAAGTATGCC